CCTTGGAGAGGGGGCGGTGCTCCCCATGCCTGAGCGCTGCAGAGCTCTGAGGCCGCAGCGAGCTGCTCCCGGCACCGAGGGGGCTGCAGAGGTGCCCGGGGCAGCCGTGTCCAGCCATGGTCCCGGTGCCCCTTCCCCGCGGCCTCCCGGGCGAGGGGGACGGGACGTGGGCCCTGCCCGCGGCTCTCGCTCCTCCCGGGCTCGGCCTCACCCGCTCTTTTCCAGGTGCTGTGGAGCTCTGGGAGCTGGATGAGAAGGAAACCCTCATCGTGAATAAATTCTGTAAATACGAGCACGATGACATTGTGATGGCAGTGAGCGTGCTTGCTAACTTCCCCGCGGCCTCCCGGGCGAGGGGGACGGGACGTGGGCCCTGCCCGCGGCTCTCGCTCCTCCCGGGCTCGGCCTCACCCGCTCTTTTCCAGGTGCTGTGGAGCTCTGGGAGCTGGATGAGAAGGAAACCCTCATCGTGAATAAATTCTGTAAATACGAGCACGATGACATTGTGATGGCAGTGAGCGTGCTTGCTAACAGCACCCACGCTGTCAGTGGCGGCAGAGACTTCTGGTGAGTGCTTCTTGCTCTGCCCTTCCTGCTGCCAGGGCTTTCCCTGCGGCTGTTTCTGACACGTCGCCTTTCTCCGCAGCGTGAAGGTGTGGGAGCTCCCCGAGGAGGCCGTGCTGCACTCCTACCGAGGTGAGCCCTGCCCTGGCACGCGCAGCGCTCCGTCCTGCCGCATCCCTGCGTGCTGCCCGTGGGCCAGGCACTGCGGTTTAACACGGCCTGCCTGGGAGCTTCCAGCACAGCTGCATGTTTGCTGGGGTGTTTGTTGCTTATTGCTCCCTACAAATGTATTCTATAGAATTTGGCTTGTCTTGCATCTCCCAGTGCATTCCACAGGATTTCTCAGCTGAAGTTTTTCTTGGAGCTCTGTGTAACCACATGATTTTCTATTGCACGTTTGAGAAGAGCTCACTGGAGATACAGGATGACATCTCGGGAGAGCTGTGCTCTCTGGTCACAGCAGAGGTGGAGGAAGCGGAGGCTTCAGCCATGCCTTGCTCTTCTGCTCTCCTTCCCTCCCTCCTCTAACTGATGTCTCATGTGTCAGGGCTTTTTGAATCTTGGGCGCCGTCACAGGGCCCTGACTGCAGTGGCTGTAGCTGGATTTGACAGCTCATCAGTTTGGTAGGAAATAGCTGAATACCAGCGGGTAGGAGTTACCCTGCGTGCGGGTAGGAGCTGCTCTTGCTCCGGCTGCGAGGCCTCAGGAGTGGCTGGGCGCCCTGTCCCTGTTCTGTGGTTGAGCGTTGGGAATGTGCGGGAAGGTTGGATACAGCCTTGCAGACTCTCTCTCCTTTGGTGCTTTTGCAGCTCACACTGCTTCAGTGACATGTGTGGCTTCCTGTCCTGGTAAGGACACTGTGTTCCTGTCCTGTGGCGAGGTAAAGCTAATTCTGTCTTAAATCTATCTGCTACTATAAGATTTAAGTTTAAATTTTATAGTTACATACACTTAATTGCTAAGCACTTATGTTGTGTCCATGTGTGTTCTAGTCAGAGTATGCTGATCAGTTTACCAAGCTGATCTGTAGAGATTTACATTAAATTGTGGGATTTTATAGCTCTGTCTGTCCTAGGGACAGACAGCTAACTTACCATCAATGACAGCATTATTTTAAATATGAAGAAAAGGGGGTGCAGGGTTGATTGTGGGTCTAAGAGGGTAGGACAGTTCATCTGAAAGTTTATGCTTACTTCTGCTGCAAAGAAATCATAAAACCCATTTTATTCACTTTGGATTTGTAGGACAACAGAACTTTGCTCTGGGACACCAGATGCCCCAAACCAGCTACTCGAATTGGTACGTTCCTCTGTGCAGTCACTGCTCGTGGGGGAGTTTATGGGGAAAGGAATGCATTGTTTTATGCCTGGCTTCATTTATGCTCAACTGCAGCCTAATGCTTTGACTACTCAGGAAGGAAAAAAATATTAAAAGCTTTAAAAAAAATCTTAATTTCACAGAAGTAAAAATATGCTTTTAAATGCGTGTCTTGGCGTAGTGCTAATTGAGACATTGTGGGAAGATGTCTGCACTGACCACCCTCTATGCACTCATGCCTGTTTGTTTGCTTACAGTTTGCAGTGCCTGTAGTTACCTCCCTACCTCAGTGATGTGGCATCCACAAAACAGTGACATTTTTGCTTTGGGTAAGAAGCAATCTCATGGTCTGGCTAGCACCAGACAAGTGTCTTTCACATGGCAGCTTTGCTAATAAATAACCTAATTCCTTCTTACTCCCTAAGGTGATGAAAATGGGACAGTTGCACTAGTAGACACAAAGATGCCTGATTCTGCCCTCAGTGCTGCTGTGCATTCCCGAAGTATCACGGGCTTTGCGTTTTCTGCACACAGGTACTGTTCAAGATACTGCTGTAAGGTCCTTAGGATAAAAAAGGGGGAGAGGCTGCTGTAAAGTGTACAACTGTACATGCTCGGAGGTCCTTAGGATAAAAAAGGGGGAGAGCTAGTTGGGCCTTTCTGTAGAGGAGGAGCATAATTCACTGTAACCTGAGTTGGATTCACTAAGACTTCAAGTTTTGCCTAAAACACTTTCCATATATTTGATTGCTCTAATACTGGTCTCATCTCTGTTCCCTAGTTCACCCTTCCTGGCTTCAATCAGTGAAGACTGTTCAGTAGCTGTTCTGGACTCAAACCTTTCAGAGGTGTAAGTACTAGACAAGCATCATCTACTGCAGCTTGCTGACTTCTAATTAACTCTTTATCTATATACTGAAAGAAAAACACCTTTTAAGTTTGGGAGCATCAGCCATGGCATTTTGAAAGATAGGAATTGCTATAAGCTCATAAACACTCCTAGACAGTGCTATGTCTAACGGAAGATTCCTTTTTTCCAGGTTCAGAAACCGTTCTCATCAAGACTTTGTAAAAGGCTTATCATGGTCTCCCTCAGACAACACCTTGCTCACTACAGTTGGATGGGATCACCAGGTTTTACATCACAACGTACCACTTCCAACTGCTGAAGCTTCTGGGATCAACTGTGTAAAAGAATAGTTTTATAAACTCATTGGTCCCAATTCCTTCCTGGTGTTACTTTGATTCTGCTGCAGTCAAAGGTGTTTGTGAGCCAGAAGGGGTATAGTCTGTTGTCCACCTTCATGCTTGTGGCCAAGAAGGTTCCTGTAGTAGTTAGTTAGGCACAAGGTCATTACAGAACAGGCTTTACCTTCTCCTTAGCAGGGACTTCACCTGTGACAAAACTTCAGTGTGTTGCACAGAAAATATTGACTTCAAGCACAGAGGAGGCTTGGAGAGACAGGCAATTAGGTATAATAAAAGTTGATTCTTCCTGCTATTCTTCAAGAAGTAATAGAAACAAATTACTTGGTAAGATGAAAAAAATCCTCCTGCCATAGTTAGCTGAATGTGAAGCCCTTACCTGCACAGAGATTTTTGCCAGCGAGACAGCATAATTTGTTACTAAAAACATAAATTCCCCCTTCCAGCTGTGGAAGGGGACCTGCTGCTCCCCTCACCGCAGCGGGCAGGGAGAGGGTTCCTCTGGGCTCCCTGCTGGGGGGGATCCCACGGGGAGCCCCGGGCTCTGCTCTGCTGCTGCGTCCTTAAAGACAGGAGGAATCCCGAGCCCTGTCCCATAGGGATCCAGGATGCGGCCCCGCTCTGAAGCGCCTTTGTGTTTCAGCGTCGGGGCACTGACACACGAGGAGCTGGAGCGAGGCCAGCACGAGGGGCTGTGCGGGAGAACACACAGCCCAGGGAGGGAGCAGCTGCTGTCTGACACCGCTCCCACTCCTCTGTGCTGAAGACAATTCACTGAAGTACAAAAACGCTTCTGAAGAAGAGTTTATAGAAGGGAAAACTGGAATAAGAACTTCAAATTTCATTTGTTTGCTCCTCTAACCAGACTTTGCTTAATGATATATTAAGGCAACTCATTATACGCTTGTCTTGAGTGGCATTTTGTGCTGAGAATAGGGAGGGGGGTACCCCAAACATTCCCACAATCCCCAAAACTGACTGCACAACACCTTAGAGGTGTGATTTTGTAACATACCACTTCAATTTCCCTCAAACTAAACTGTTACCCTGGAACACGTTATACAGCTGCTTTGCATGCATTGCACTGCTCTTGGTCAGAGCTAACATTCCCTGAACCAGTAAAAGTGGGTCCCAGCTGGTGAAAAAAAAGAAAATGCTACTAAAGTGAATGCTACCTCTGTCTGCTTAGCATGCTAGCACTGCTAAGGGACACGTAAGCTCCTTCTAGTGCATTCATCTCTATCTGGAAGGATCTAAAATAAACAGCACCCACAATTAATTTTTAGGCTGATTAGGCATTTCTAGTGTTTGTGTCTTTGAATTCCAACACCATTCAGTTGTTCACAGAATGAAGTTCCTGATCTAGAGCAGTGTATTATAAGAACAAGGTAAATGGTTATGAAAACTGATATATTTCCTCAAACTACCCTTCCACAACAACAATAAATTACATGTTTTGGACCTCTGATAGCAGATTGAAAACTGAAACAGATCTTGTGCTATTTGTGAAACAGATGGATGTCTCAAAAAGGCTGTTTTAAATAAATCAGTTTTCATTTGTAACTGGATGCAAGTTTTCCTCAGCCACTTCTGTAGTATTTTTCACCTTAAGTTCAATTATAACAGCTTTATGTATAATGCTATGGTACTGCGGGCCCTCAGCACTAGTACAAGGCAGCCCTTTGACTTTTTAAAGAATTTTTTCAAAGCTTGAAGTAGGATATTAACTGTACATTGCTAAAGTGAAGAGTTTCGAGTATCAAGGAGATTAGTGCAGAGACGCTTGAGAAATTTGCTTGGTTGAAGCAAAACATCACAGACCAAAGCAAAAGCAGACATCGTACAAGAAAATGAAGCTCTTGTAGAATTAGTTGCTTTGTAATTACAGAAATACTTTCTTAGCATGGAAGCAGAAAAAAAATATGGTTGCAGCAACTCTGCAGATCCTGCAGCTCTTTAGGAGAAGCTTTGTGTTCTGCCACGGGAGGGCAGCAGCTCCGAGCCCGACAGCACAGCAGCACTGCTCTAAAACATTTCTTCAGGGAGTACCTACCTCTAATATAATGTACCTTTGTTTTTTCACCATAAAGAGCAATGCACAGAAAAGACAGTTTGTCTTTGTAGTGACTATGTTGGGTTATTTTGTCTGCTAAGTGAGTATACCGTTGCTATCAAGGCTATATTAAATAGTTACATCAACAGCACTTGCATCATGCAAGCAGCGTTGCAGAAACACCAGCAGCCACATCAAGGGTAGTTGGTTTAGGAATTATCTGCAAAGGAATTGGAGAATTTCCTCAGTTTTGTGGGATGTTCACACTGTCAAGGCTAATTTACATGTCTCTTAAGTCAGGGGTCACTTTCCTTCCATAAACACACTGTGGCTAGAGCAAAAACTCCAAGGCATTGCACATTTTGCTAATGAAAAACCTTGTTCTGTAGCCAGAGTGGGATTAAAGAGATGAGAATGCAAATAAGTATAATTTGGATGAGTGGAGTGAGCCACTGAGATGACGAGCTGGCCTTTTATGTTCTTGCATTGCTCACACTGCATTTTCAATTTTAAGAACAATCTAGTTAGGACTTGCAAATGAGCATGCAGGTTTCATTAGTAATGAAAAGCTCAAACCCAGGAATTCTATTTATAGAGGAAGCCCGAGCTGCAGCACGGAGGCCGCTCTGCCCAACCCGCCGGGCTCACACCGCGCTGCCCAGCGGCTCTCGCGCTCCTGCAAACGCCCCGGCTGCCACAGGGCTCTGCATCAACAACGGGGAGCAGTAATCGGACCCAGCCCTAGGCAGCTTGGAATTCACTGTTGCTGAGGCCAGTTTCAGCTGTTTTCCTGGCCTTTTAATCTCCCATGCACAAGCGCTTGACTTTACAGTAGATTAACTATTTAAAAGCAATACTTAAAAAAAAAGAAAGTCAGACCACACATGCAATAAAACAATACATCCAGACATATTTAATGCAAGAAGGTTGATGTTCCATGTCACTCATAAATAAGAGACTTTGTTAACAGACGTCACAGGTACAGCTCTCAGTTACACTGCGCGAGCAGGTGCTTTTGAGGAGGCGGCGGCTGCAGGGGACACCTCGCGCCGTGCGGAGGCTCCAAGGACCGAACCCTCAGAGGGGTGAAACACCCGGAGTTTCACCGCCAGGTTTGCAAACAGCTCCCAGCGCCGCGGCCGAGCTGCGAGGGCGCCTGCTCTGTTGCCACACCTGAGGCTCCCTGCTCTATTGCTAAACTAGAGCAAAACAGAGCTGGGGAGGAGGAACCCTGCTCCGACTGCCGATTATCCGTGCGGCCCGACGAGCCGCCCGAGCGGGGCCGGGAGCTCGACCCCACCACCCCTGCGGCGCCGGGGTCCCCGCTCTTCATTAGCGAAAGCTTTTGCCCTACGTGCTGCGGCTGCCAACAGCTCCAACAGGGATTTCTTTGTAACAGGAACAGCAGCCGGAAACGCTGCGAACACCACAGTTGTGCTACCGCGTTCAGGAGCGGCAGGACCAGCCCACGACAGCCGAGCACGGAGCAGTTCCTCTGCCCCGGCCGCGTTAACCCGCCGAGCAACTCGGTCCCGCCTGAATGAGGGGCAGCTCAGTCCCCCGCGCGCCCCAAACGGCGCCCAAACGGCATCCTCCTGCTCCCAGCATAGACACATACACAACCCCTAGGAACAGGGCACTACGTAACACCTATTACACCCACATAGGAATTGTGGGTCTGCATGAAATAGCAAACAAAGTTTGGTGCAAGCGCCAGCATCAGAGCTTTGCATTTTGCTCTGAAAAAAACGAAACACGTAGCGGGTGTGCTCAGCATCAGGTGAATTTTTAACTGGAGGTAGAAAGCCCACACAAAGACAAAAATACATTTCTGGACAAAGTCCACTTCCAAGGCTGAAGTTTCTAACACTACAAATTTAAGACTGCTTTTCAGAATTACAGTCTAGGTATATTTTGGGAAACCAGCCAGCCTGAAGTACTCCTGGGGTAGCTGCAGGGTTGTGTTTGTTTTGAAAGTGAAACTGGTGAAATTTCATGCAATACTAAAGTACAGCCCCAAACAGCTCCAACAAGGTCAGGTCGGTTCCTGGGTGTAATTCCCACTTCTCCAGACAGGGAGGAACTGCTGTGGTTTCGGGGACTGCAAGCACACGGCACACAGGTACCCAGAAAGTTGCTTCCTCCATCGCATTCCCCTCCCCGTAGTTCTCTTTGTAAACCAACACCCAGGTATTTAAAACATGTTAGTTCAATGCTGGCTTCAGAGAGCAGGGCTGGAAATGTTCCAAGTTACCGTAACTTACTGGCATCAAAACGCCATTTCAATTGAGCTATTAGAGCCATTATAGTATTTGCGCTCTCATTGTATTCAGAGCAAAGTAAAGTTCAGGATACTTTGAAGTCTATGCAATATTCAAAACAGCTGTTAAATTATTAGGTAATTAGAGCTGGAAATAATGTAAAGCTTAGAATTTCCTCATCATAGAATTAATATTGAGATAACTGGTCTGAAAGCAGCACTGTCAAGGAAATTTATCTCCCAATTCTGTATCAACTCGCAAAGTCTCTACAAACACAGACAACATCGGATAAGCTCAAGTGGAACTAGTATAACAGTGAAAAAAGTGCTTTTGGTAACAGTAAACTAATGTCTCAAAGTGCTTTTAGTTTGTCAGCAATTAGAAAATCTTCTCTACAAGTTTTTACATTTATCTTACAGTGTTTTTTTGGCAAGTTTACCTAGCTGGCACATTAGGTTTGACTCTGATTTCCAAAGTTCACTCCCCAAAACCTCGCTCAGGTGAATCGGGTTGTTTTGCTCTCCGCACAGCACAAGGCACCTTGCTCAGGGCTGCACTACTGCAGGGCAGCACCCGCAGCGGGAAACGGCGGATGGGAACGGGTCCCGCGGCCGTTAGCAACTCACCTAGCAAAGCCTGTTAGCGAAGGCACCTCATGCACCAAGAGCGTCACATACTCTGCAGTTGCACTAAAATTGAGCTGCTTGGTCCCTTTAGTTAGACAAACTAAAAAACACATTTTTGGCAGCATATTTCTTTTGCAAGTCACAGCCATCAGCTCTGATAAAGAAAACCAAAACAAAACACCAAAACGGAATGTCTGTTTCCAGAGCGCCTCCCCGCCACCCGCCCAGGCCTCGCAGCTTTCCTCCCGGATGAGGAATTAGCAAGAGGAACATCCAGGGTGACGGAGCAGGAAAGCAAGGGCTCTAAATCCTGCCGCGCGGCCGAGGGGAAGGCCGGGTCCGGGAGGAGGAAGCGCCTCCCGCTCCCGGCCGTCCCATTCCCGTTCGCGCAATTCCCTGCACTTGGCCACTGGCTGCTTCATTCCATCCTCCAGCTGGTTCCTCCTGCTCTCAAGCATGTCAGATTCAAACCAATTAAACAAAAAACCTCTTCAGTGGTTATGCACTTAAGAGAACCAGGGATGCTCTTTTGCTTTCTCCCTACGAGGCTGCAGTTTTGGCAATAACTCTTTGGGGTGGGGAAGAGGCGAAAGGAAAGCGTTTGCTCACGTAACAGCGCGGCTGCTCCTCTGCAGTAACCACGCTCCGTGACCGTCCTTGGATGGGTCCGAGTCCCAGCTCTGCACCTCCAGCAGCAGC